ATAGAGGTTAGATCACAAGTGATAGAATTTTGAAATTTTCAAAGGAGTTAAAAAAATGAGACGTCTTCTCTCTAATTCAAATTGGATTGGAGGGTACTATTGGGTTTCCGTGGGCCTATTATAGAGCCCGCATTGATAATCCTAACTGTTCAATATGTAGAGTTTGTTGAGTATTTAATTCCTATAGAAAAATCATGTTGATCGGATATCGATAGTCATTTAATTAGACATATAATTTTTAAAATAAATTGTTGATACAAATGTGATTTGATTAAGTGGCTATCGATATCTGATCAACGTAATTTTTTATAGGGATGAAATACTCGACAAGCTTTACATATTAAATGGTTTGGATTATTGATGTGGGTTCCGTGGTGGGCCCACGGAAGCCTAACAACGTTCTCTAGTTGGGAAACTCAACTGGAGAGAATCATCTCCCTTAAAAAAATTATATAATTTTGTTACCATGTGTTTTGGAGGATAAAAAATAATATAGAAAATAAATTGAATTTTGAATTTTGTTAATTTAAATCTTAAGTTTTTGATTTGTTTTTAATCTAAATCACATGCTTATTTTTGTTCACCAAAATCAACGAAAAAAATGGTATTTTAATAAATGGTATTTTAAACATTTTATGTACACCAAATTGAGTTTAATGGCTAAAAATATTATTTTTCTATCAGTTTCACATAAAAAAAAAAAATAGACAAATGGTCTAAATTGAAAATAAATCAAAACATTAGAGTTTAAATTGATAAAATTAAAATTTTAGAATTTATTTTATTATATATGTGTTGATTTAGAATAAGTTTATGTGACACTTATTAGAAAATTTTATTTGGACAACTTATTTATTATTATTTTTTTTTTGACAACTAAAAAATCATAACATTAAAAATATTAAAACAATTTATATTAGTGCCCAGGCTATGAGCTGATTGGGTTACGTTATTTTCTACCTTATTTATACAAAGGAAAGAAAAATATTGACTAAAAAATCTAGTATCATTGACAGTAGCCATTACATACTACTTCTTGATCCTGAAGCATACCAACCAAAACTTGACAATCAATTTTGATGGTGACAATTTGGTACTTGTCATCCAAACACACCCAAGTACCAGCTTGCTAAACCTCCTATTTGATGTAGTGTATTCTGCAAAACATGTGTTAGTTTGAGTTTGAACAGAGTCATTAACATTAGCTAAATTATGTGCAAGCAGATCCTCATCCAATGACTAAATTATCAGATACATTAGTTGATTCTATAGTTTCCTTAATGGTGATTGGAGATGTTGGAACACAAAACTGTTACGTTCACACCATATAGCCCAAAGAATAGCCACCGATTGAATCTCTATCTTTCACCCCGTTTGACCCAAGACGTGAACTAATGTCTTATTTAGTACTATGAAAATTCTTATAGCCTATCATGTTATGTGTGATACAAAATGACTCTATTGTCACTAATTACATAGATAAATGTAATTAAGCATGGAAATAGTTATTGAAATAGATTTGATAATTAAAAAAATATAAATGGGAATGCAATTAGCTTGAAAACTTAAGAAATCAACAGTGAAAAAGAATCCAAGATTATTTGAAATTAGATGATTTAATTTTCGTACTTTTTATATGTAACACTTTGGAAAATTTTCTATTCTTATTTTCTCTTTACTTGAGCGACGGATTGTTCGCTTGAGAGGTCTTTCGAGGCATCTAGTACTTTTGTTTGCAAGCTTGAGATGTTGAGAGTTGGTTGTGTTCGGTCTAGTGCAAAAGTGGTTTCTTAAGCCGTTTGTTTGGGATCAGCATGTATAAAACCCACTTTTTGTTTCTTTTCTCTCTTTTCTCTCCCTCCTCTCTTCATGTCCGAAAACCTTAGCCACAAAACCTTTGATTTCACCTCATTACGCCAAGGATCCACCTTAGTTCTTACAAGATTAGTGAAGAATGAGTGAAGATCTTTCTCTTGACTGATTGGATTGCGAATTCATCGGAGTTCTTACTTGGGTCTTCGTTGTTTGCTCACCTTCTTGAGGTAGAGAGTTCTGTTAGCTCTAATCATTTATAATTTCATTTGATTATGTTGTATTATGGGAAGTATGGGTTGATTTGATTTTGAAATCTTTGTTTAAAAGATGTTTATATTCAAAAATTGGGGTTTTCACTCAAACTTTGGAAATATTTAGAATGTTTTAAGATATTGATGGGTAATATTTTATGATTGGTAGATTTGATGATGAAATGAAGAAAACTCCCAATTTTCTTGAAACCCTAGATTTGGGATTTTGTTTTTAAATGAGGGTTTGAATTAAAATTGTACTTTATGTGAAAATTTCAATTAATCTTCTTGAGTATCCATATGTGGAATGGGATTGGTGTTATGATGATGTTAATGAAGGATTTAAGGAAGTTGTTTTGGGTAGAAAATCCGGCAATGTTGAAAGGTTTAATGTACGAATTAGTATATAATTAAAATTGATGGCGGGGATGACATGGGGACATGGAAATATTTATGTACTTCATATCGTATTCATTGGATTGATTTTGTGTGTGATTGAATTAGACTTCAGTTAAGTTACAATATTATGAACTCTTGCATTGCATTGCATTCACAGAGTGTTGGATTAAGTGTTGGGTTGTGTAATTGGGTGTGTGTAAATTTAGAACGTGTTGTGTGTGTTGAGGTGCCCAATTGCCCTTCCATGCTCTGAGGCTGGAGAATGTGAGAATGTCATTGGTATATGGTTAAGGTGCCCAATTTACCTTTTGTACTTAACGCCGATAAATGTGGGGAGGAGGGGATACGGTTGAATGAATGTGTTGGGTGTCCGATTGCCCCTCCGTGCTCGGTGGCCGGTAAATGTAAAGGTATTTTTTAAAAAATGTAATGGGTGTTCAATTGCCCATCTATGCTTGATGGCCAATAACTGTGGAGGTGTTTTTGAAAAATGTAAAAGGTGCCCAATTACCCTTCCGTGCTTGGTAGCCAATAAATGTGGAGGTATTACAAGATGTGTTTTGGGATTTCACAAAAACGGAAAAAGAAATGTTTGCAAGAAGAAGTAAGGTCCAAGTGTGGAGTCCATCGTGAGTTTAAAGTTTACATTGAATATTGAATGTCAAATAAAGTTACTAGACTTGTACATTATGAGGTGTTGCATGAATGTAACCAACATGAACATTTATATATACATATTAGGCGTCATTGCTCACTCCCGTTTTATAGGCTGGATATTCCCAAATTGTAGGTGATCAAGGTGTGACTCGTTCGTTGAGAAGTATTTGGAGTTTTAGATGGAGCCCTAAAGATAACGTTTCATGTTTTAGCTACAAGCTTAACTGCCGACATAGAATTTTATTTTATTTTATTTTTGATCAAGGCCCCTAACCTTGAAATGTGTAAGTCTCTGTGACAATTTGATATATATATATATGTATATATATTTTTATATAGCTTGTACTGTAATTTATTATAATGTATGAGATGACTGATTTGCAAGAAATAGATGAGTTTTTGATTTATAATTTGTTATCTTTATTTATCCGGAATTTATTAAAGTTATGAAATTAAATGATAATAATAAATTGGTAACTAATAAAATGATGTTAATTTTCAGGGTGTGACATTATAAATAAAAGTATATAATTTTTTGGGAATTGTAAATTCACACTTGTAACACAAAAATTGCAAATCTAAAAGTTCACACTTTTGAACACTATTACATTTTTAGCCCATTCAATTACAAATGTGAATATCTAACATTTTTATTTAAAAATTAAATTTCTAATAAAAGTGTGAACATGTACAATATTTTTTTTTATTTTGAAAATATAAAAATCATTCGATTAAACTTTATGAATTTTTTTTTATAATTTTTTTATTTTTTATTTTTAAAATCATCTCTGTCCACACACATATATAATGAGGTGAATCGAAATAAGTCTGAATAAAATAGTGTGAATATTTGGTAAATGTGAAAGTTATAAATATTCACACTTTTCATAAATAAATACTGAATGCAAAAAAATATAAATATTCATGCTAATTTTTACATTTTCATTTTACATAATATTTCTTTTTAGAAAGTGTGAATAGTTTTAAAAGCATGAATATTCACACAAACTTTTGTACTTTTCAAAAATGCATAATATTTTATTAATTGAAAGTATGAATATTGACACTTATTTTATATATCTATATATGCGGAGAGGATGAGTCCTATGACAAAATATTTATCAAAAGTGTAAAATTTTGGAAGTGAAAATTTTTCCACACTTTTAAATACAAAAAAGAAATGATTTTTTTTTTCTTATATTTTATATATTCAGTTGAGATCTTTTTTGATAGATTTATCGAGTAGTAAAAGAGAGATTTATTTATAAATCTCATTTAGAAGACTTATAGCCCAATAAGTCTATAAAGTATTCTTGTGTTCCACTTAGTCTCATACATTTGAACTTATATTCCAGTAATTCTTTTTTTTTTCTCATATTACAATTATTATGTAAATTATTTTACCTTTATAAACTTTTATTATTATAATATATATATATATATATATATATATTATATACCATATATCTAGGAGAGAGAAAATTATTATGAGATATATTTCATTTATGATATATATAAAATACTGTATATAAATATAGAATATTATTATTCTAGGAAAATTGGTCGAAGATCCCTGCCCAATTTTAGTAAGAGGAGAGGTCCACAATAATATTTTTTGATGCCTAAGGTCCCTTAATGTTATTTTAGGTTGTAATGGAGATTTTCATACAATATGATGATGCAGATCAATCGTGCCTTTTACACTTCTCTCTTTCTCTCTCTCTGTACTATGTGTCGCTACTTAGCTTCAACAATGGCAGATGAAGAAGAAGAATAGCAAACTCTAATCCATGAATCCATTTCCCTAACATCGTCTCTTGGACCGCCCTCATCTCTGTCCTCTTGAACTCCTTCCTCTCTCTTCGCTACTTCGTCTCCATGCTCCACCATCCCACCCTTTCTAACCACCACACTCTTGCCACCCTCTACAAGTCCTGCTCTTTCCTCATTTCTCTCTCCTTCGGCCTCCAACTCGACACTCTCTCTCTCAAGCTCTCTTTATCTTTCCAACCCTTCATCGCCTTTTCGCTTATTAATTTCTATTCCAAAACCCAACTTCCAAATGATGCTGGTAAAGTGTTCGAGGAAATTCCTCACAAAGACCAAGTTTGTTACGGGTCTATAATTGTTGGGTTAGAGCAAAATTCATGGTTGTTTGAGGCTTTAGCTTGCTTTGCTAACATGAGAAGTCGTGGGATTGAGTCTACTATGTATAGTGTATCGGGAGCACTCCGTGTAGCGATAGAGCTTGTTACTTTGGAGCAATGTAGGATAATTCACGGTCACATGGTTGTTACTGGGCTCGATTTGGGTACTGTTATGGGGACTGCGTTGGTTGATGGGTATAGGAAGTGTGGTTTGGTATCAGACGCCTATGGGGTGTTTGATGAGCTTGTGTCAGAGATGGGTATTATCGGGTGGAATATAATGATGGCGAGTTATGCACAACAAGGGGAGTGGAATTCGGTGATAGAGCTTTTTGGTTCGATTGACGCTAGAGGGCTTGTCCCGGATGAATATAGCTTTCTCGCAATTCATTCAGCTTTTTACAATGCGGGTTTAATTGGGGAGACTAAACAGTGGTTGAGCAGGATGAAATTTAATCATGGGTTAGAGCCATTGCTCGAGTATTATACATGTTTAGTGGGAGCAATGGGTCGAGCAGGGTAATATGAGGAAGCTGAAAAGATTACAATGACAATGCCATTTGCTCTAGATGCAGCAGTCTGGTGTGCATTGTTATTAGGTTGTGCGTAACATGGTAATATGGAAAATTTTCCACGATTACCCTTGATTTTTCTTTGAATTTGGCCATTATGTGAATTTTCTCTAAATTTGGCCACTATGTGTATTTTCTCTAGATTTGGCCATTGTGTGAATTTTCTCTAGATTTGGCCACAGTGTGTATTTTCTCTGGATTTAGCCATTGTGTGAATTTTTTTTTGGATTTTGGCCAGTGTGTGAATTTTCTCTAGATTTGGCAACTGTTGAATTTTCTTTAAATTTTGGCCACTATGTGAATTTTCTATGGATTTTGGCCACCGTGTGAATTTTCTCTAGATTTGGCCATTGTGTGATTTATTTATTCATAATTTTGGCCAGTGTGTGAATTTTCTCTAGATTTGGCCACTGTTGAATTTTCTTTGGATTTTGGCCACTGTGTGAATTTTCTATGGATTTTGGCCACTGTGTGAATTTTCTATGGATTTTGGACACTGTGTGAATTTTCTCTGGTTGTTCACCGTGTGTATTTTCTTTGGATTTTAGCCACTGTGTGTATTTTTGTTACTCTACGACTTTTAGTGATGATTGGTTATGAAGATTTTATTGTTCCATATTTTGTAGATCAATTACATTAAATGTCTATTGTTTGGATTTTTTGGTTGATAATTATTATTTTTTTTTGGACAAATGCAAATCACAATGAAGCTAGATGCTCTGGTCCTTGAACTTTTCATTATTGTTTCTTCAAACAAGAGAAATTCTTACGAAAACCAGAAAAATTCTCTGGAAATGTAGAGAAATTCTCCTTTCATTGAGTCTCTCTCTCTCTTTCTCTCTCTATCTCTCTCTCTCTCTCTCTATATATATATATGTATATTGGTTGTTGTCGTTGCTTATTTGGGAGATTGATTTGTGTATTGCACATCGTGATTGGGAAGGCAGAGAAATTTTTTGGATTGAACCCAGACAAATTCTTGCAAAAATTAGAGAAATTCTCTAGAAAATCCAAAAAAATTTTTAGGCTTGAATCCAGAGAAATTCTCTGGCCCTCCCAGAATTTCTCTCTAGGAACAAATTCTTTAGGAAGTCCAGAGAAATTCCCAGAATTCCATGCCCATGGATTTTGTCTCTCACTTTCCCTCTCTTTTTTTTTTTGGTAAAGTGAAGAGAAAGAGCATTTTTTTCTTTTGATGTTAAAGTATTTTTGTTTTTGTGATCTTGAAAGTGAATTTTTCTGGACTTTTATTTGAGTCCAGAGAAAATTAAAAGCTTGTTATTACAATCCAGAGAAAATTATAATTGTTACAAATTGTTCTGGACTTTTATGTTGTGTTTTTTATGTGTTTTTATATTGAACAAGTTATTTTTCGCCTATTTTTCTTGGCAACCAAACAAACTTTATGATTTATGGTTCACTTGAAATCCAAAGAAAATTAAGAGAAATTCTTTAGACTAGAATCCAAAGAATTTCTCTATCCTTCCTAGAATTTTTCTGGAGATAAATTCTCTGGGAAGTCTACTGAATATTTTGGGTATATGTATATTGGTTGGTTGGTTGTTGTTGCTTATTTGGGTAATCGATTTGTGTATTGTACATTAAGATTGGGAAGGAAGAGAAATTTTTTGATTTGAGTCTAGAGAAATTCTTGTGAAAACCTGAGAAATTCTTTGGAAATCCAGAGAAAATCTCTACACTAGAATCCAGAGTGAAATTCTCTGGGAAGTCCAGAGAAATTCTTTGGATCAAATATTCTCTTGATCGATGTTGAGAGGCCTTGGACATTATGAAAATATTGGATGTTCCTTATGCTATAAAATCTTAATACCAGGGACCTTAAAAACAAATCTCCTTATTATTGTTGGTATGTTTTTTTGCCTCAATGTGAGGGATTCACTTGATCAAAGATTTTCCTTCACCATTATATTACAGTAAGGTCCTACCATAGAAGAACAGTTGGAAGAAAATGTTATTTATACATATAAACCAGTGATAGAGATAATGATGAACTCACAATAAAGATGATAGTAAACCAGCGATGAACAATCTTTTTTTGATATTGTTATACATAAATCGTAATTTTTTTGTCGGTTTGTATGGAAATCGATATTGTGTAGTTTATTTACTGGTATTTTTGATGCCCTCAAATTAACTAGATTAAAACATTTCTCATAATTGATTAATCTGAAAGCTTTCCAAGCCAAACAATAACATTAATCTCAAAAGTCCTCTTTTCTCTTGAACTACATATCAAATATTATAATTTTCATATTCTTGTTTTAGTAATAATAACATTTACATAGTTCAAGAAATTAGAGAATAAAAATAATAATTCCTTAATGGCGTACAAACATCAAGGCAAGTCCTTGTTACAACAAAATGGACACGTGGTCCCAAACTCATACGCTTGAAGCATCTACATAACACATCCATGAGCCTTCGTGCCCTAACAAAACAAAGAAGTCCACCTCTTTCTCATAGGCGTGATTGCACAACATCAATTCCTGAAATTGTTAGATAGGAATGAGTTAGATGCCCAGTAGAAATACTTTTAACAAAGCATCTAATTATTTAAAAATCTATATGGCATTATCACAACTAAAACATTTCCTTGTTTAACACACATTAGGGGTTTAAGTGACAAAACTGAGATATTAAAATTTTCATGAAAATCACATTTCAACACTAGCGGGTAAATACACCATGAAGTCCCTAAAGAGAGTCCCAATACATACATATACATATGTTTATATTAAAAAATATCCCCACATTTTCTGACTATTAATACAGCAGGGAATGGGCACCAAAATCATCCGTTTTTTCACTTTTACCGACTACAATACGGCATGATCTGTGGACACCCAAAAATATCTTCCCACATTTGTCTGGCGATATGTGCAGAAAGGCCAATTGGGCACGTTGACTCCTCTTGCAAGTACTAACAACATATAACTCTTTTCAAAAACTGACTCCCTACCCAAACTCCCATTCTATTTATCACCCCCTTAAACAACCTTTCCAAGATTTCCACAAATTCTAAGAATTTATACATCCATGAGAACAAAGGTAAATATCACTATAGACACCCAAATTTTGACCGACCTTAAGACTCAGACGTCATCAATTGAGCGCTCGATGATCGCACATGTTTGTGCTTGTTTCGAGTTTCCGGAGTTTTCGGCTGAGTGCCTTGCCTCCGGGCCTCTGAACTCTTTGTGTTTGGCTTGGTTCGTGGACCATGCCTTGTTGCCCTTGCCTGGAGGGAGAGGGAGGCCTGTAGGCCACTTTTCGTAGTTGTAGACTACTTTTCCCTCTTGTAGGCTAGTTTCCGGTTTCCGGAGCCTTCGGCCGAGCGCCTTGTTTCGGGACCTCTTAACGTTCTCCTCTTGGCCTGGTTTTTGGACCATGCCTTATTGCCTTTGCCTAGAGGGAAATAGAGGTCTGCAGACCACTTTTTGTAGTCGTAGACTACATTTCCCTCTCGTAGACCACTTTTCGTACCTGTGGACTAGTTTTCAGGGCTTCCAACTGAGTACCTCGCCTTGCGGACTCTTGTCTTGCTTTGTTTTTGGTTTGGTTTTGAACTAAACCTTGTTTTCCCTTGCCTGGAGGGTGGAATAGGGCCGTAGACCAGTTGCTCTCACTGTAGACCACTTTTCTTCCCTGCCAGCCAGTTTTCTAGTCGGCCAGCTAGGGTGGGTGGTCTTTGGACCACCTAAAGTGGTCGGCAGCCATGCCACCACCTTCCTTTCGTTGTGCAGACCACCTCCCCCCCTTGCCGACCAGTTGTTCTCCCTGTAGACCACCATTTCTGGTCGGTTGACTAGTGGGAGTGGTCAGTCGACCACTTCAACTGGTCAGCACCTTTTCTGCATTTTCTGCAGATATTTTCCATGCCAGCTGTGCCAGCTGTTGGGCACAGAAAGCATCCTCCATATGGAGGGATTGATCCAAGCTTCATGCTTGGTTTTCTATAAAAGGGAGCCTCCTCCCTCTTGTCTCAAGTTCAGAATTTTGCATTAGGGTTATACATATATCTCTATCTCTATATTGCTCTATTTGCACCATATTTGTGCTCAAAAGTGCCATTTTTTCACACTTTTGCACACAAACACCTAGTGCAACACCTTTGCTTTGGAGCTGAGGCACCTTGAAGCTAGTTTTGGTGTTTTTGGATTGCTTTTGGTCCAAAAAAGTTGCTGGAGTTGCTGCTTTGTCCTTGTTCTTCGAGGGTGATTCACTAGTCCCTTAAAGCTTTGTTTTTGATTAAGTCTTTGGCCCTATTTGCATAATGTTTTAGGCCTAACTTTCAACTACAAAAAGGTCTGATTTTAAGTGCTTAAAGTGTTTTTTTAAGGCTTCTTTGGTGTTGGGGGTGGTCTACTCCCTTGTATGCCTTATTTGCTAAGCTTTTGAGCCATCCCTTGAGGCTTTTGTTTTATCCTTTGTTTGGCCTCTTCACCACTAAATTCTAGAGGAATTTCAGTGGTAGAAAGTGTGTTTTGAGGCCCCAAATAGGAGGGGGTCACCTCCTCTCCTTGTGTCTTGGTTGTTTGTGTTAATGACCTCATGTTTGAGCATATTTGTCTAGCTTGTGTTAGCTTGTTCTCAGCGTATCTTTGGCCTTATTTCAGTGTGGCATACCTCTGTTTTGGCTTAGTTTAGGCCACCCTTGCATGCTTCATCCACTCGTAGTGCAATTCTTGCTCACTAGCTTTGTGTTTTGAGTCCACTAGCATGCATTGCTTGGGCTATTCGCATGATTTAGCATCATTTGATACATGATTTCAGAGCATGTTTCATTGTCATACACTCGCATGTGTCACTTTTTCAATGCTTTTGGAAGGTTGTGCTTTATGCCTTAAACATGAGCCAATATGTATGCCATCTTGCTTAAGCTTTTGGGCTACCATTTCAGTGTGTTTTTGGTGTTATTTTGCTATGATAA